CATCATCCTTTTTCTTGGATGGTTTAGGAGGAAAAGGCATGGGTTTCTGAACCCATGGTTCTCTTTCTTTACCGTGCTTCCTAGCAACAAAGTCTCTCTTATCATAACGTTGATTCTTTGATTGCGTGTTATCAAGATCAACAACAGGTTCAATCTCTACTTCATTGTCATTACTAGGTTGAGCATCAACATGAACATCATTATTAACATTATCACTAGGTTCATGCTCATTACCAGATTGTGTTTCAGCATCAGAAATAGAAATATCATTGGGATTCTCAGGTGTATCATCAACAGGTTCACTAGAAGCATGCAAAGTCCTATCATTTTTCTTTTTCTTCCTCTTAGAAGGACTAGGTGCATCAATATTATTTCTCTGAGAATCTTGCTCAATTCTCTTAGGATGGAACCCAAGATACAAAGGTTCCTGAGTCATTTTACCACTTCTAGTCATAACTCTAACAACATTATCATTTTTCTTACTATTTAATTCATTGAGCAAATCATTCTGAGCTTTAAGTAGTTGTTCTACTTGAGTGGTAACCATAGAAGCATGTTTACTAATAAGTTTTAGTTCAGCTTTAACATTAGCCATATAATCACTCAAGTGTTCAATCATATAAGCATTATGTTTCAATTGTCTTCCAACATAAGCATTAAAATCTTCTTGCTTAACCATAAAGTTATCAAACTCATCTAAGCATTGGCTAGCAAACTTAGTAGGAGGGATTTCAGCTTTATCATATCTATAGAGAGAATTTACCATTACTACCTGTGTCGGGTTATCAAGACCATGTGTTTCTTCAACAGGCGGTAAGTTAAGACCATGTATTTCTTCAATAGGAGGTAAATTCTTAACATCTTCAGCTTTAATACCTTTTTCTTTCATAGATTTCTTTGCCTCTTGCATATCTTCAGGACTGAGAAATAGAATACCCCTTTTCTTCGGAGTTGGATCAAGAGTTGGTTCAGGAATTGGATCAAGGATTGGATCAGGAAGTGTCCAATTATTTTCATTCATCAACATATTATTCAATAGAATTTCAGCTTTATCAACAGTTCTTTCCCTGAAAACACAACCAACACAACTATCCAGGTGGTCTCTGGAAGCATCGGTTAGTCCATTATAAAAGATATCAAGTATCTCATTTTTCTTGAGAGGATGATCTGGCAAAGCATTAAGTAATTGGAGAAGCCTCCCCCAAGCTTGTGGGATACTCTCTTCTTCAATTTGCACAAAATTATATATTTCCCTTAAAGCAGCTTGTTTCTTATGAGCGGGGAAATATTTAGCAGAGAAGTAATAAATCATATCCTGGGGACTGCGCACACAACCAGGATCAAGAGAATTAAACCATATCTTAGCATCACCCTTTAATGAGAACAGAAATAATTTAAGGATATAATAATAGCGAGTTTTCTCATCATTAGTGAACAGGGTAGCTATATCATTTAATTTAGTAAGATGTGCCACAACAGTTTCAGATTCATAGCCATAGAAAGGATCAGATTCAACTAAAGTAATTATCTCAGGGTCGACAGAGAATTCATAATCCTTATCAGTAACAAAGATAGGTGAATTAGCATAAGCAGGATCATATTTCACTCTAGCATTCAAAGTTTTTTATTTAAGCTTAACTAATAATTTCTTAAGATCACTTCTATCATTGCAAGCAATAAAGTCTCTAGCAGTTTCTTCATCCATAACATAACCCTCAGGAACAACAGGCAATTCATATCTAGGGGGAGAATCTTCATCATCACTTTCATCAATATTATCAGTTTCAATAATTTCATTCTCTCTATCCCTAGCAAGTTGTTCATCAAGAAATTCACCAAGTGGCACTGTAGTATCAACTATAGAAGTAGTTTCATCATAAGTATCATGTAAAGCAGAAGTGGCATCATCAATAACATGTGACATATCAGAATTCATAGCAGAAGCGGGTCTAGGTGTCGTAAGCTTACTCAAAACAGAAGGTGAATCAAGTGCAGAGCTAGATGGCAGTTCCTTACCTCCCCTCGTAGTTGAGGGATAATCTTGCTTCTTGGATCTTTCAAGTTCTTCATAATGATAAGCAGATATAAACCCCAAGTGACTCAAAGAATAGAACTATGCTCCCCGGCAACGGCGCCAACAAATAGTCTTGTTAACCCACAAGTATAGGGGATCGCATCTGTTTTCGAGGGTAGAGTATTCAACCCAAATTTATTGATTTGACACAAGGGGAGCCAAATAATATTCTCAAGTATTAGTAGCTGAGTTGTCAATTCAACCACACCTGGAAACTTAATATCTGCAGCAAAGTGTTTAGTAGCAAAGTAATATAATAGTAGTGGTAACGGTGGTAAAAGGTAACGGTAGCAAAAGTAATATTTTTGGTGTTTTATAGTGATGATAACAATAACAACGGAAAAGTAAATAAGTGAAGAACAATATATGGAAAGCTCGTAGGCAATGGATCGGTGATGGAGAATTATGCCGGATGTGATCGATCATGTAACAGTCATAACCTAAGGTGACACAGAACTAGCTCCAGTTCATCAATGAAATGTAGGCATGTATTTCGAATATAGTCATGCGTGCTTATGGGAAATAACTTGCATGACATCTTTTGTCCTACCCTCCCGTGGCAGTGGGGTCCTATTGGAAACTAAGGGATATTAAGGCCTCCTTTTAATAGAGTACTGGACCAAAGCATTAACACATAGTGAATACATGAACTCCTCAAACTACGGTCATCATAGGGAGTGGTCCCAACTATTGTCACTTCAGGGTTGCCGGATCATAACACATAGTAGGTGACTATAGACTTGCAAGATAGGATCAAGAACTCTCATATATTGATGAAGACGTAATAGGTTCAGATCTGAAATCATGGCACTCGGGCCCTAGTGACAAGCATTAGGCATAGCAAAGTCATAGCAACATCAATCTCAGAACATAGTGGATACTAGGGATCAAACCCTAACAAAACTAACTCGATTACATGATAAATCTCATCCAACCCATCACTGTCCAGCAAGCCTACAATGGAATTACTCACGCACGGTGGTGAGCATCATTGAATTGGTGATGGAGGAAGGTTGATGATGACGATGGCGACGGATTCCCCTCTCCGGAGCCCCGAACGGACTCCGGATCAGCCCTCCCGAGAGAGTTTAGGGCTTGGCAGCGGCTCCATATCGTAAAACATGATGAATCCTTCTCCCTGGGGTTTTTATCCCCGAAAGTGAATATATGGAGTCAAGGTTGTGGTCGATGGAGCCTCAGGGGGCCCACGAGGTAGGGGGCGCGCCCAGGGGGCGGGCGTGCCCCCACCCTCGTGGACAGGTGGAGGCCCCCCTGGCGTGGATTCTTCTTCCATTATTTTTTATATATTCCAAAATAATTCTCCGTTGATTTTCAGGTCATTCCGAGAACTTTCATTTCTGCACAAAAATAACACCATGGCAATTCTGCTGAAAACAACGTCAGTCCGGGTGAGTTCCATTCAAATCATGAAAGTTAGAGTCCAAAACAAGCGCAAAAGTGTTTGGAAAAGTAGATACGACGGAGACGTATCACACAGCGGCGGTAGGTATTTCCCTCAGTGATGAGACCAATGTTATCGAACCAGTAGGAGAACTAAGCAACACAACATAAACAACCCCTGCACACAAATAACAAATACTCGCAACCCGACGTGTAAAAGCGGTTGTCAACCCCTTTCGGGTAGCGGCGCCCCAAGAAATGCAGCAAGGTATTTTTTATTTTTGGTTTAATAGAACTAAAAATAAAAGCAAGGAAAAGTAGATCGCAAAGGCAAATAATATGAGAAAGAGACCTGGGGGCCGTAGGTTTCACTAGAGGCTTCTCTCGAGAAAAATAACAAACAGTGGGTAAACAAATTACTGTTGGACAATTGATAGAACTTCAAATAATCATGACGATATCCAGGCAATGATCATTACATAGGCATCACGTCCAAGATTAGTAGACTGACTCCTACCTGCATCTACTACTATTACTCCACACATCGGCCGCTATCTAGCATGCATGTAGTGTATTAAGTTCATGGGGAAACGAAGTAATGTAATAAGAGTGATGACATGATGTAGACAAGGGTCTATCTATGTAGAGCCAGACCCCATCATTTTATCCTTAGTAGCAATTGTACATATGTGTGGGTTCCCCTTCTGTCACTGGGATCAAGCACCGTAAGATCGAACCCACTATATAGCACCTCTTCCCATTGCAAGATAAATAGATCAAGTTGGCCAAACAAAACGCAAATATCGGAGAAGAAATATGAGGCTATAAGCAATCATGCATATAAGAGATCAAAGAAACTCAAATAACTTTCATGGATATAAAAAGATAGATCTAATCATAAACTCAAAGTTCATCTGATCCCAACAAACACACCGCAAAAAGGGTTACATCATATGGATCTCCAAGAGACCATTGTATTGAGAATCAAACGAGAGAGAGGAAGCCATCTAGCTACTAACTACGGACCCGAAAGTCTACAAAGAACTACTCACACATCATCAAAGAGGCATCAATGGAAGTGGTGGACCCCTCCGTGATGGTGTCTAGATTGGATCTGGTGGTTCTGGACTCTGCGGCGGCTGGAATTGATTTTCATTGACTCCCCTAGGTTTTCTGGAATATTGGGGTATTTATAGAGCAAAGAGGCGGTCTGGGGGCACCCGAGGTGGGCACAACCCGGCCACCAGGGCGTGCCTGGGCCTCCTGGCGCGCCCTGGTGGGTTGTGCTCCCCTCAAAGCTTCCCCCCAGGCGCTGCCTTGGCCCATTGCGTGTCTTCTAGTCCATAAAAAATCTCTGTAAAGTTTCATTGCATTTGAACTCCGTTTGGTATTGATTTCCTGCGATGTAAAAACATGAAGAAAACAACAACTGGCACTTGGCACTATGTCAATAGGTTAGTACCAAAAATGATATAAAATGACTTTAAAATGATTATAAAACATCCAAGATTGATAATATAACAGCATGGAACAATCAAAAATTGTAGATACGTTGGACACGTATCATCCACCAGGAAGAACTAAGTGTAATTATTCTTGTGAGAATCCTGACCACGGGATGGGATGTCAGGGGCAGGCTAAACATACACTCTTCCTATCATCCAAGCCTAAGCATAGTAGAAGGGTTGGGACAAGGGACAAGATCGTCCGTGCCCGGAATCCTCAGGCAAGCATCTTCGACACATCCCCACCTCAGGATATGCTTAGGAGGTAGAGGACAGATATGCACACCCATTTCTTCTGCTTCCTCCGGCGTAGCCTCAGTAATGATCTGAAGGGCTAGAAGACGGAGCTTGGCATCCGCCCTCTGGTGGAAGAAGGAAAGTTTACGATGAAGAACTTGGCCAAGACTGGGGTCTTCCTGAACCACTTTCTTGGCCCGCTCAAGCTCTTTCCAGTTGGCGAAGGCATGACCCAGGAACATAGCCCGCCTTGTCCAGATCGACGAGCACCAAGATTGTGCTAAACCCCAATATTTTTGGGTGAGCCAAAAGATATGGAGGCAACTCTACCCATGGTGTCAATGCAGGGAGAGAAGGGAGTCGTCCCACGGGACGGCCTATGACCATTGGTGGAGCAGGGTGGGTCGCTGCCGAGGTTGACGGAGGAAGAGAAAGTCTCGATGCCATCATATACGAGAGTGTAGGATAAGAGGCCACGACCCTGGGTAGAGGATGAGATGGACGAGAGGAGGAAGAAGAAACATTCCGGTCGTATGGAGAGTAGCGGTGGAAGGCAAAAGATGAAGAGGCCATGACGAAAAAGCGATGAGCTAGATACGGCGGTGGTGAAAAAGGTGAAATTTATAGGTAAGGCTTAGTCGCCTTACCCCATCACATTTAACAAAGAGATACTACCACGAGGGATCTTTCGTTCTTGGGAGTGCGGGACAGTAAAAACCCATGCATGGGATCGAAAGCGGCACTCTATGGAGTTGAGCCACTGCAATGTCTCACGTCCCGGAAAAATAAAACCACTTCCTTTTCCCACTCGAAACACGGCGACAGTAATTTCCGAGGAGATCACTGTTATTTTTCGATAGGTCCACCCACATCGTGATCAGAGTGCATGCCTTCAACTTTGACCACTTTGAAAGAACTCCGCGGGCTAGCTCTCGGGGGCTACTGATGGAACATTAGATACCGGGCATACATAAAGTTTAAGTTTTGCACCCTCTCAGAGATAAGTTGGCATGGAAAAATACAAACGAAACACCGGAGTGCACTACGGTAAAAAGTATGGTATAAAAGATACAAAATGCAGGATCTATGAAGAACAAACATCCGTAAAAGATCCCCGAGGAGGCCCCTGACGCCAGCCATGACGCACTCGGGGGCTGAATCCCTAAGCAGACGGTACACGTGTTGGCCAGAAAGGCTGGTCTTGCAACGCACTCCACCGACTAGGATGTACTAAGAAATGACAAAAAAGTATGATGTACTTTGTTATTGCTGCATATCCAATATCTATACGCTTGAATTTATTAGGAAAGATCAGATACGACAAAGCCCGAAGATATATTCTAATTAATCATCTTTAAAAGGACAGTTGGATTCCATCACTGCTCCGCTCCTCGCCCTCACATACATACATTTAGATTTCACACTTTCCCTTCTGTTATGGCACCCAACTCTCCTTGGTCTGCCATGAAGGCGAGAGTCGAGGTAGAGGACCCAGATCCAGTCATCACTGGATTCAACAACAATGACCGTAGCTGCGATGGTATCAATCATGACAAGAACGAGAAGCCTGCCAGTTTAGAGCTCCGCCTATGGTGGCCATGCGAGACTATGCAACAGGTAATGTACTTGTGTGTTTATCTTGTAGTGGATATGCCTATGATGCACTGTTAAGAGAGGAATTGAATGGTCCAAAGGAGCAGGAGGTCAAAACTTGCCATAAATGACACCAATTTGTTTTTTTCTCCATAGGAGGGTACACCAGTCATGGAGGAAGGCAAGCAGGCAACGATGTCAGTGGGGAACAAGGTGAAGGTGCCAGAGAATGGGATGTCCATCCATCAACCAGTGATCGTACCAAGAACCAGAAAGTATTGGACCGACAGGGAACATCTGTAATTAATTTTGCATACTTCCTCATTTATCTTTCAAATTCCTACACTCGCACTAATTTATGAAGAATTGTCTAGGAATTGACTTATGAGATTGGATGATTTTTATCATTGTACTTCTAAATATCATAATTCAGTGCTTTAGTTTCACATTTATGGGGAAGATAATTTTTTAGTCAACTTGTGTTCATCCTTTTATTTGTCCTACAAAGTTTATATTTAAAAATGCTACTCTCTAATGATTCTATAATCTTTCACTAGATTGTTCAGCTTCCCTTTAAAGTTAATGGAATTCGTCTTTTCCTAAATGGATAGTGCATCAATAGTTTTTCATGCTAAAATATGTTATAGTTGCAAGTATAAACATGATATGTCTATTAGACATCAGTATGGTCGTAGTAATTATTCAGTGCTTACTCATGTACACTCACTTGCTTTAATGTATTAAATCGTAGAATCATATAATCAAACAGTTGTCATTGACATGGTTAGAGTGAGTGCACATGGTTCTATATGAAAATATTTGTATGTTTCACACCTCAGACTATTTCATTTACTAATTTAGTTTTTAAGTAAAAAATATTAATGTTTTGTGTCCACACATATCTACACACCATGTTTATTAGGTACAAGCTACCTCAACTAATGAATGAATAGTGTGTAGCTCTTTCAATAACCTAACTTATTCATCTCTAACATGGTTATGCAAGGCTCTTTCTTCGAGGATTGGGTGTCTATGGGCGTGGAAAATGGAAGGAAATATCCAAGGACTTTGTCACCACCAAGACTCCTGTGCAGGTTTCAAGCCACGCACAGAAGTACTTCAGGAGGATAAAGAAAGGAGAGCTGGAAAGGCAACGCTACAGCATCAATGACCTAGAGCTCAAAATTGTCAAACCATGGACAATTGGAAATAACTCTAGTGCCTACCAATCTCTCATCTTTGATGATGCTGATAACCAGAACCAAAGTTTCGACATGTAAACTCAGCATTAAGCCAGGTCCTCAGCCTGAATAATATCGCTCAATTCTATTTACCATTCTCAAGGACAAAGCCTCCAAAAAATAGTATCTTGTTGAACAGAACATGTCTCAGTTACTATATTGGGAGAATCGACCATATTGTGTGTTACTATTTACTATCTTTATATGAATATTGGAATTAAACTTTATCTGGTATCAATACAAATATGCGTGTTTTTACTATAACACATGTCCACTATGTTAACTACTTACTACATGCATTGACAATTTGTAATTTTTAGGACCACCTAATCGTCTTTAAATGACACAAGTGGCTTCAGAATTTTTCACATTTGAAGCATCCTATTATTTTATAGTTTCTTGGTGTTATAGTCTATTGTTCAATTAACATTTTTTACACTCCTAGACATCAAATATACATTTTGGTTTGGTTCTTCATACTCAAAGGATAGAAATCATAGTAAATAGGATGCATTTAATATAGCTACAAGCATCACAAAGGGAGATTTCCCCTCTTGTATCTGTTTCCCCTCATCTTCCCCTCCTCTAGAACCTTTCCAGCCCCATACCCTTCTATGGCTTTTCTCCTTGCCCTTTATTGGCAGCTCTAAAGGCTCGAGAGGAGGATGAGGTGGAGGAAGGTACATTTTTGTTTTAAGAATACATTGTCATGTATTTTAAACAAACCAAATCCAATTCCAATCTCCACATTCCTCCTCCTTGTCCTTGCTTTGTCCATGGTGGTTGGGAGAGAAGTCACTCGTGAAGTGGAACTTGGTTTTGATTTCTCTTTGCAATACATTGTTCTGTGTTTACCTTTCCAATAGGTCAATTCCAATCTCCAATTTCATCCTCTCACTTGCTTTGTGGTAGTTGAGAGAGAAACCGGTGACTACATGGGGGTGGATCCACTTCTACAAACCAAAGCATGTCTTATATGAAAATATCTCCAACACAATAGAAGGTTGTAGTCAATAGGATGCTCACATCCACATATGCCTTCTGGTAAAAATGGAAAATGGATCAAGTTTGTTTTGGTCAACTGGTTTCAAACCCATCATAAACACATTATCGGCCATTGCATGCCCATAAAAACTACTAATAGGTCTGGTTACCGAGCATGATTAGGCACCCATCGATCCTATTATAATTCTTCATTTAAGGTTCATATTTAAGCATATCGGGTCATGTATGGCCAGGTCGTGTTTGGTGAAGTCAACCTCTTCTGGACCCATGCCCAAATGCATGATCTGGTCTTGCACCTTCCCATGGCCATTTGAATGAGTCATGGAATAGACCCATGCTGAAATATGATGGATATCGCGACCCATTGAGACACCTATAGGCACCTCAACATAGTATTTAATAATTTTGTTTCACCCGAAATATGGCAATACAAGCTACTTCACAATACATTTTTGTGTTGGCTTGTTCAAATGAAGCAAGCAAACAACCACTATCTTTATAGGTTAGTCGATGTTCTCTTTTTCATTATCCAAGCGAGGTGGTACTAAACCATGTGTGTGGATGTATTGACATCATGCTACATGGCCTATTTATGTGGGCCGATTTTTAAACAAGTCTTGGGCCTAAAATGATGCATAAAACGTGGATGGTTAGAATAGAAAAAGGCCTCCATGTGTATGGACAAATAATTGTTGTTGGGTTGTTAAATTATACAAGATCCAATATATAAATCATGCATATACCCTACCCACCGTTAACTGGGTTACCCATGAGTATATGAGACTGCTCGTTACTTGGACTTCACCCAGAGCTCCCCTAACATGTCTTGGAGCCCGAGGGGATTATATGACAAGTTCCATGACTTTTGTTGACATTGATGGCTTGCTAAGTGTATTCTTTCTAAGACTAAGTAGGACCACACCAAGTAGGATTAATCATTCCCACACCATAAAGGTACTCTCTAACTTAATAAAATACATGTATAAAGTATTGATATGAAGGTGTATTCATGTAAAAGGTATGGTATATGTCATTAGAACACATGTATCCTAACTTGATAGGAAAGGATTAGTTGCAGATATGGCTGATATCTTAGACGACCAGACATCCCAACCAAATAAGGAGATTTGACTTGATTTTAGTGTTTATCGCAAGCATATCTAGGATGATCAAGCCTTGAAGATCATTACCAGCAATGCATATAATGGTAATAGAGGCCTTGGGAGAGGAGACACCCAAAGAGAAATCGCATTTGTTCTGACATGAAACTGTAACATCCCAAAATTCTAAATTTTGGAATGTTATAATAAATAGATAGATTTGATTGATTGATTGTAATTGAGTGAAATTCGAAACTTTTTGAAAGTTAAATGAGAGGGAATAAAAGGACTTTCCCAAACTTTCATTTTTGCATTTATGATCTCCGGGAATTCAAATTCTTTTCACCACAAAACCCTGGAGAGAAGATGACATGACTTTTCCATTTATTTAAATGAAAAGGGGTGTTGAAAATATTTAAATTTCATTTGAAAATATTTACAAAACTTTATGCAACTCAAGGATTTTCATGAGAGAAGATAAAATGACTTCTTCAAATTATATGAAATATGAGTTGGGAGTTTAAAAGGATCAAAATTTAAAATCCTTTTGAAATTATTTTCAATTTGGAGTTATTTGGGTTTATTCAAATTATTTTTCTCCAAAAATAAAATATATGGAAAATAGGGTAACATGATTCCCTATAATACAAAATTGGAAAAAATTAATTTGAAATCATTTTGGTGTTTTAAAATGATTTTAGTGAGTTTTTATTGCACCAATAGCACTATTTTATTTACTCAAATTTTTGTGGATTTTATTTGACGTTAGAAAAATGTTCATGTCGTAGAAAATCTTTTTCTGAAAATTTTGATATATAATATGCCTATATAAAATTTTTATTTTATTTTCGTTATTCAGTTTCCCTTTCTGTTTCTATTTAAAAAAATTGTACGTGCGGCCATAATTATTTGTCGCCCACGTGCGCTGCATAGTGGCATCGGGCGCCCCATCATTTTAGTGTTTCTTCTCTCCTATATGGGCTAGGCCCAGCCAGCCTTTTTATTTTTTTAGGCCGAATTTTGTTAAAAAAAACTGCAGCCGCAACGCGCGCGGCCGGCCGAAGGCCTTTAGGCCCATGTGATGTGAGCCGTCTCTTTTCATCTGTGTTTTGTATATTTTTCTTCTATATTTAGTCCCACATTGCCTAGCCTTTGACCTTTAAGTTTTTTTTCACCAATAAATATAGACTCATAGAGCCTCCAAAAATCATCCGATTCGGGTTAAATCAATATTTTGGTTTGACTAGATTCTTTTAAGAAAAATATATTTCTCCTCTCCGGCGCGACTTCTGAAAATTGTCTCTTCTCTCCAAAGTCATATTTTCTCTGCCTTATAAAGGTATCTTTCTTTGTTTTTCTTCTTCTTATACTTCCGTAGTTTATTATTTCTAGACTAATACGACAAAATAATTGGATTATCAATTAGTCTACGTATTTATACATTAGACCCTAGCCGTAGCTATTTTTCTTCCGTAAAACAGCTTGGCCCTGATTTTTCAAATAGCCATAACTTTTTACTCGTTCACCCAAATTAGATGAAACCAACGCCTATAGCTTCGTCTTGTTTTTACCTATCGAGTGAACCTGTCACATCAACCTTTTGAAATTTTCAAATTTTGAATTTTGTTCAGATTTATATTCAAACTTCTTTTGATCATAACTTGAGTTTTATAACTCCGATTTAGTTGATTCTTTTTGAAAATTAAAGCTCTTGAACTAAACTTTCTGATAAGGCCAAATTCACATAATTTTGGTACTGTTAGAAATTGTTTTATGTTGCAAGAGTTATTTGCTGGGTTTTGAAGCTTTCCGAATTGTTTTCTTCTTTCTCTCCGACTTTTTGAGTGATTACTTATGTGTGGTTACTATTGCTTGCTTACGATAGATTGACTGGAGTGTGACGAGTAGAACTATCAAGAGTTATGAGTGCGAATCATCTTCATCAACATGGCAGGCAAGTTCACACTTTGATCATACCCCTTTATCACCCAGTTTTTATGCATTAGTTTCAACCTCAAACATTGCATGAGTAGGATTGATAACATGTGGGTATTGGGAAGTAGTTGATGAAGTAGGAACCTATTGCCCTGCATTCAAACCTTGGGAGTCACTATTACGTTATGTTTATACTACTATGCTATGCTCATAGATGTGGATTGGGTTTGAGAGTATTCATGACAGATGTGAGATTGTTAATTAATGGTTTACTTAAGGTGGCAACTTTAACACACATCTGGGTGGATTGAGGCACCTGGGTACTCCAGCGATTGCCTGTTTAGGCACCTGGGTATTCCAGCGATTGCCTGTTTTTTTATGGACCGCCACCCAGGCTCAAAGGGATCATGAGATTATTCATACTAAAAACTTCCGTGTGCAGCCACAAGCTATTATGGGCTCTAGCATAGTTGATTAAGTCGTGTGAACTCTTACAGTGATAGACTAGCAGATGTAGGGGTAGTAGGTGGTACAGTCTACCCATCGTAAGGTGCAAACGCTTCTGAAAGACTATGTCTTGGTCATCCGTTTCTCAAACACCATGTAGTGCGAGAAATCCAAAGGAGGAGATCGAGTCTTGTGGGGAAAAGTGTGCAAACCTCTACAGAGTGTATAAACTAATCATGATTAGCCGTGTCCCCGGTTATGGACATCTTGAGTATCTGGTTCTTGGATTATCATGTGAATCTCATCACGTTACCTAAATAATTTGTTGTGTTATTAATTATTACTTTTAATTGGGATTGAGAGGGTGTCTACACTCTCAATGTTTAACAACCACCATGATAGTTAAATAAATTATATTCCTTTGTAGTAGGGAAAAATTGGCTTCTCGCAAAAACCTTATAACCATAGAGCTTCTCCACTAGCCATATATGCATGTAGTGATAGCCATTGTTCATCATTTCTCTATGGTGTGAATTTGCCAGTACATTCAAT